ACCCCCCCCCCCCCCCCCCCCCCCCGAACCACATCTCCTCGAGAAGGGGGGGGCGAAATATGGTGTACCTTCACCCAAAGCGGAGATCCGGAGCTCAGCGGAAAATCGGCGGCATTTTTTTTCCAAAAACAAAGCGGCGTTCACGCCCAACACTATAATAACCCTCGGGGACTTGTGTTGTTATTATTACAACTCCCCTTTTTACGACTAGTCATGGTGGCGGCGTAAATAACATCACAATACCCCTAACTACTATTGAAAATAGACTCTACACTCGTGGCAGCTAGGTTGCTCTACATCTAGGCACTCAAGAGATATAACCAGCACCGGATTGTAGGCGTGATCTGCTCGTCGGCATAAGCAGCAGCGTACCCAACTCCGTAGACCTACAAGGCTAGGACGGGGATACGTCCCGTCCGGCTTTCCGCCGAACAGTCAGGCGCAGAGATTACGAGAAGAAGCGTTACCCGGCGGTCCAGATCTCTCATGCATTTCCAGAATGCTACCAAAAACAGGCCTTGTCGTCAACCCGAATCCCTCCGGACGCGGGAACCACCAGGGGGGACGGGACGGGGGGCTGGTCAAGACTATCACTGCCGCGTGCTTTCTGGGAGACACACCCAACCGACGAACGCCAGCGGCCGCAGTTTCCAGCACCAGCAGCTACTGCAACGACAACGAAAGTACCATGTTATTCTGATGCAACGGCGTGCTACTACTTACTGTAGGGATGCCCAACAAAAATAGGCAGCAGAAGCAGAAGCAGGAGCTGTGCCCTCCCTTTGTATTTCTTCGTCTCTGCTCAACGCTACAACCACACAGCAGCAGCAGCAGCAGCAGCAGCCGTACCTCGTTTTACCCTTTTCAAGTCGATGTCCCATCCTTTCCTCACCTAACCCAAGCAAATACCATGTCAAAAACAAGACGAAACAGGTCCAACAAAAACACGACGACGATGGCGACGACACATAATCCGCCTTCGCTTCAGTACCAACTATTGTACCGACCACCCCAAACTTAAAACAACTTCTCTAGGATACTCACTCCAGAACATTTTGGGACAGTGAAAATCAACAATTCCCCCCTCCCCCCACGCCACCAAACTTATTTGCAACTTCATCCAGACTCAAAAACCTTTTGTATTTCAAGCAGCAGGCCCATCCACAATTACTCGGTCCGTGCCTTTTTACCTGCGACCAATCAAAATCAACCAAACGCGTAGGACGGGGGATTGGGGTTGGAACGGTGTGTGTGTGGCAGTAAATTCCAAAGGGCTATGTTGAAGAAAGTCAAAATTTCATTCTTTGATTGAAAGATGCATATCCAAAACAAGGGCAAGCTGTGTGTGCAACTTAAACTTATCAACAAATATGCAGACTTGTCTTTGATCTTGGGGAGTACACATGTATTGAGATCCTTGGCACATAAAGGGGATATATCCTTGGCCTGCTTGGCATAAATGCCCTTTTTTTTCTCCCTCTCAGCTTGAGACTTGACCAGTATTCTTCTTTAATGGTACCAGTAACTCACTAGCTGGTTCTCGCTCCTCATCCTCTTCCTCTTCCTCCTCTTCGCCACCACCATCGTCCTCCTGTTGCACCCCTGTTGGCAGCACGCAATCCATGACCGACACAAAATCGTGCGGGTTGACAGAAAAAAAAATGAAACCGTGAAAGGCGCGGCGGGCAAGCATCCATCACCAAAAAAACTCAACTGTGGAGGTTGGCAAAAGTAAAATGAAACCGCGGAAGGTGCGGCGGAACATATCAAGAAACCGTCCGACGAAAAGAAGGCACAACAGGTGGAGCTGCTGCAAGTCTGCACCACAGTTACTGCTAGCCTGCACCACATGTTTATGATTGTTCCGACAACATCAACTGAGTCGTGACGAGAGGGAAACATAAGAAGACACACGCAATACGTACGTCCGCGCTGTAGGCGTTATACATTGATGCAAAGGAACGCAAGGGATAAAGTTCAGTCAGCACCAAGGACATACACAACGGCGCACGATGTTCGAAAAGGAATCAGCAGAGTCAATCACCTTCACCTTTCTGGGCGTCGTCGTCGTCATCGTCTTCGGCTTCGTCCTCGTCCTCGTCATCTTGTTCGATCAACCCGCCCACCTCCTCTTGGATGTCCTGCCCCGCTTGCGCCGCGGCTGCCGCTAGTTCAGCCGCCCCGTTTGCGATGTCACCGAGAGCCTGGGGGGGCACGCGTGTGGGTCGGGTTAGGGGCAAAGTTTGATTTGAGTTGACATAGAGTGAGTCCTGCTACGCACGTGGGTCTTCCAGATCACAGCGTCAGGCGCTCGAACGGCAGCAGTAGACTGACGAAGAACAGCAGCTGTGCACGGTCGATTTTCGAGGGAACAGAGATACATGCTCGAATCAACAGCAGCAGACAGACAGGCAGGCAGCAACGGCCGTAACGCCAACGCCACCCTCAACGAGCATGATCCTACAATCACCGCGACCAGCGCCAACAACAACTACACGTTCAAATCTACCGGTACACAAAACACGACACACGAAGCACGTCACATCCCGCGCGCCTATTCTTAACAAGTGCCGCGGGCGGCTGTTCGAACCACTGCTGCACCCACCGCCTCCTGGCCAGTAGACTACGAATGCATCGCGCAGAGCTGACCCCTGATACACCACAGCAGTAAACCTTGCTTTCTCGCTCACACGCGCGGATGAACCCGTCCAAGGGACGCATGTGTGTGTATAAATGGGGGGCGCTTAATTCAACAAATAAGAAGGGCGGAGGTCTGTCTGTCCTCTCCGGACACGTGCTAGCTTAAAAAAAAAAAAAAAACGCCTTGTTTTGATACCGTCACCCGCCACGACCACCCTCAATCGCAACGACTACAACCTGCACCCGCCGCTACCACAAATAAGACCCAGCTAGCCTATCCCTCTATCTATGTCGTCTCCCCACTCACATCGTCGTCTTCGTCATCGCCTTCCTCGTCGTACGGCACCTGCCCCTCGCCATCGTCCTCGTCTCCCTAAAAAAAAAAAAACACACACACACACAATAGAAAAACACAAACACCCACGTAGTTCGCGGTTTTAGCGGTGTGACCTATGTCGGCCGGCCGGATCGAATTCATAAAGCGAGCGGATACACCAGCAGTGGATACCGCAGTGCACCGTGGCGCGTCACATGTTCATCTTCCTCTTCGTCGCTGCCCACCTCGTCTTGGATGTGCTGCCCCGCGGCGGCCGCCAGCTGCGCCGCCCCGTTGGCGATGACACCGAGAGCCTGGCGAGAAACAAACAAACAAACAAGCAAACAAACAAACGTGTGACTTCGGTTGAGTTTGAGTTGAGGTCGGCAATGAGACTGATGACGCCTACGCACGTACGTATGCACTATGCACGTACGTATGCATAGATATAAAGACACGAATGAACAGCAGCAGACAACGATAGCGGCGAGAACGCCACGGACAACAACGAGCATGGCCCACCCTACCGTCACCCGCCACGGCGACTACAACCTGCACCCGCCGGTACCACAAACAAGACCCAGCTCGCCACATCCTCCTCCACCCCCATTCTCACAAGTGCTGTCTGCCTGTCTGTCTCTGTGTTTGTGTGTGTGTGTGTCTCTCTCTCTCTCTCTCTCTCTCTCCGTGTGTGTGTCTGCCTCTCTGTCTGGCTGTCTCTCTATCCCTGTATCAATTTCGTCTCCCCACTCACATCGTCGTCTTCGTCATCGTCTTCCTCGTCGTACGGCACCTGCCCCACGCCATCGTCATCGTCTCCCTAAAAACACAATAAATAAAACACACAAGAAGATAAAACAAGCACGCACGTAGTTCGCGGTTACAGCGGTGTGACCTATGCCGGCCGGCAGGATCGAATATATAAAGCGAGCGGATACAACAGCAGCGGACACCGCAGGGCACCGTGGCGCGTCACATGTTCACAGTCCCGCAGTGCTTCCACACGCACGCCGGTTTGATAGATGGATCGGTTACAGTGCAATGGACAACGTACCCATGGGTCATTGAGGGACAGAGATCACACAAGCTAGAAGACCAAGACAGACAAGCGACCAACAAGCTCGTTGCCCGCCGGGTGTGTTGGAAGAAGTGCCATGCACTCACGTCCAGCCATGCTCTTCGTCTCACACACATGCGACGATGAACTACACACACGGTTTGTTCCAAACGCCTAAACTACCACTTGACATCTCTCCGGATGTTGGAGTAGGCTTAGAGGATTGAATCCACGTAGCTAACGTGTGCAATAGCACATCGCGGGAGGTTATGACCCCGGGGGCTAACTCGAACCTGTCCCAAAATTCGGCGTCGTTTTGGGTGGGAGCGTCTGGGGGGGGGGGGGGGGGGGCCCCTTTTTTTCCCAAGCCCCCACCTCCAACCCTTTCCCCAATTGCCCGGAAAAAAAAAAAACCAACCCCCCCCCCCCCCCCCCCACCGGGGAAACCCCCCCACCCACCCCATTTTCCAACCCCAAAACCCAAAACGCCAAGAAAAAACCACCCGCTATTCCCCCCCCCGAAAAAAATGCGAATTCCTTTTTTTCCCGCGGGCCCCCCCCCCCCTCCCCAAAACCCTCCACCCCCTCCCCCACCCGAAAAAAAAAAAAACCCCCCAAATTGGCCTACCAACCCCTTTACCAGGAAATTTAACCAAAAAAAAAATTTCCCCCCAATAAAAACCAACCCCAATTTCTTTCCCCTCCTCCGGTCCAAAAAAAAAAAACCCCCCTTAAACTTTCCCCCAAAACCTTCTATTCCAAAAATTATTTTTTTCCCCACAAACTACCCGGGCCCCCCCGGCCCGAAAAAATAAAATTTCCCCCCCCTTAAAAAATCCCCCCTCCAAATCAACTCCCCCCCAACCAAAAACAAAAAAAATTTAAAACACGGTACCCCCCAAAAATAAAAAATAAAAGGGGGGTACCCTTTTTCTCCCCCAAAACCCCCCAAACCACCCCTAAAA